AGGGCAGCTTGGAAGGGCCCTCGTGCAAACAAAGACGCATGCAATGGTTGAGGCCTGTCTGGAAAGCTTAAAGCCTGCTTCACGGGAGATGGATGGAAGAAAAGGAAATGTGAGTTGACCCTGCCCATAGCTTGACCAATTGTGGCTGGGAACAGCTAGGAGCTAGGTGGAGTTTTGACTTGCAATGTTCATTTTGGGCTTCTCAGAAGGGCAAAAAGTGGGCAGTAGGAGGGCCTGCCTGCAATGGTGCCCACCTGAGAGGTGCCGGAACTGCACTCTGGCACTCTCCAGCTGAAAAACGCACTGCTTAAGAGGCATACTGCATGCACCCCTATCTAGATAGGGGCAAGGCTGAGCTGATGATACCTGGTTACCCATTTTTAAAGAGATGATCTGATGATGCAGATGGAGATGAAAGGAGATCCTACAGGTTGTCCCACATGCTGCAGTACCCCTCTGCTTGCTCTTGGTGGTCAACATTGCTTTGTTTTCCTTCCTCTTTATTGTACTTGGCAGCTGGAGAATTTGGGAGAAGGGAGAGCAAACAGATGGTGAGCTTTGAAGATTGAATGCTGTGAGTCAGTGCTCAGCTAATGTTTCCATTTATATACTTCTCAATCCCCCTCCCTCTTTCCTCCTAGCCATTTCAAACCAGCTGTAACGATTCCTACCCATTTATCCTGAAGGGTGCTAATTAAGGCTGTGCACACACTTTGGATAATAGCATTGGAATTGGCTTAATTTGGGAGCAGAATCCAAGCCTTTGCATCTGCTTTAAAACAAAAACCCGACTCCGATTTTTGAAAGCTAGCTGCCCCAGCTGCTTTACCAACCATTTTTAATATTTGGATATTTACAGCTAGGAGATGGGAGAGACATTCATGCAGTTCACATTTCCATATGGTTTTAGAACCACAGATTTCCTGCACCCGACCACATAAACCTGACCACAAGGCTAAGCGGTAGGAGATATGCTGTGCATGGAGAAGACCCCCACGTTCAGTCCCCAGCATCTCCAGATAGGACTGAGCGACACCCCTGCCTGAAACCCTGGAGAGTCACTGGCAAGCAGTGTAGACAGCACTGAGATAGATGGGCCAATGGTCTTAGTGTAAGGTAGCTTCCTACGTTCCTAGCCCTCATGGTGAACACTGAACAGGGATGCCGGCAGTGTGTCAGGGCTGGAGTCAGAGGCAGGTCAGCACATAGAAGCAGAGGCAGTTGTCAGTGAAGTTCAAGGAAACAGCAACACGTCCCAGTCTGTCTTGCCCCTATAGAGCAGTTTCCAGGACTGAAGGTCCCTGCCTTCCACCCATTCTAAGGCTCCTCCTCTCCAGGATATCTCCCAAGCAGTCTCAAGCCTCTCTGACCTCTGTTCCACTCTCCTCACTATCCTGCATGTTCTTGGAAACTGGGGGGGGGGGGGGTTGTTAGCTTGTTGCAGCAGGAGAGGATTCTTCTGCAGCCTCTTGATTCCCCTCCCTGCTTCAGCCACAGAGTCTGAACTGCTCCCTGTCACCGGTTCTCCCTGCTCACTAAACCCTGTTGCCCCTTCAGCATCAGGTACCTCCTCCCAATCTTCTTCCTCTGACTTCTCCTCAGTGTCCCACCACCAATCCCCAGGCTCTGGGCCTTCCTCCTCTGGTGTTTCCCTTGGGTATCCCCCTGGCTGGTACCTCCCACCACTCCTCTTTGTCCAGCCAGTCCCTGACACAGTGGCAACCCGTGCAGACAAGCATCAAAATGGGGAAAAGGTTTTCTATGGGTCCATTACAATGAATGAGCTGAAGGCATATGGAACTTTACTGGAGATTGCTGTGGACCAAATGGGAGACTGGCTAGAAGAAGAGGAAGAGGAAGAGGAAGAGGAAGAAGAGTTTGGATTTGATATCCCGCTTTATCACTACCCTAAGGAGTCTCAAAGCGGCTAACAATCTCCTTTTCCCCTTCCTCCCCCACAACAAACACTCTGTGAGGTGAGTGGGGCTGAGAGACTTCAGAGAAGTGTGACTGGCCCAAGGTCACCCAGCAGCTGCATGTGGAGGAGTGCAGGAGCGAACCCGGTTCATGAGATTATGAGTCCACTGATAGTGGAAGAAAGAAAGGCAATAAGAAGAAGGAAGGAAGGAAGGAAGGAAGGAAGGAAGGAAGGAAGGAAGGAAGAGATTCCTTCTTAAAAGAAACATAAGTTGCCAAATGAGCTACAGGTTTTCCTCTCCTTTACAAAAAACACATTTTCTTTTATTTGTGATCCCACATCCCTTATAAGATAATGAAACAGGTAAACCACTTTATGTATATAAAGATAAGAGGGGAATCAAGAGCCTGTGACAGTGTCCCATTATTTCTGTGCTTATCACATTTAATAGAAAATGTGCTGAAGCAACAACCTGACAACGGGTGACAGCTGGAATAAAGCTCCCTAGTCCTCCTGACCTTTGGTGAGAGATGGCACAAAAGATGTTCCTGCTTCTTGCGATCTCCCAGGTCGGTAATGAAAAGGGAGGGAGGGGTGCGTGGAAACCCCCAGAGACATGTCAGCCACATTTTTACACTTTTTATTTGGGTTCTGAGTGACATCACAGATAAAATACTTTAATCAAATACAAGAAGAACAGGTTGCCATGTAGTTCTCCCCCCCGCCCCCCCTCCAGATGCAACAAACAGAGTTAACATGGAAAAGAAAATCCTGCTGGTGATTATCCACATGAAAACACCAGTTGAAGATCTCAGATCGGCACACACAAGTAATATCTATACGGACCGTAATTAGCTTTATTAAGCAAAGCAAACAAATGAATTTTTTTTAAAAAATCACATGCAAGATGTAACCCAGGCCTATAAATCCTCTTTGCCATTGCTCCCTGTACCTTCGCTGCCCCTGGGGCAACAGGAACATTTGGCTGGTGTGTTGCAAACTAGCTATTATCCCAAGTTTGACTGCCATGCAACTGTCCATTTCATTCAGTGGAAGTCGCAGTAGCACCAACTAAATGGAGATTACACAGCAGCAGAGTTTGCTGGGTGGTCCTCAAATGCCCTGATTCATGGAGATCCTCTGGCTGCCCTCCCCCCAATCCTGCGGCTGTTCTCCTCCAGTGAAGTGAATGGAAGGAAGACACCATTATGCACAGAGGCCTCTATAGTCTCTGCTGTTATCTGAGTAGGGATCTCATTGGCAGAGCTGTTCACTTTCCAACTCTTAAGCGTTAAATGTCTAGAGTTAAACATCGTTTCACAGGAATCAGCTTAGGGTGGAAGAGATTGTGATCCGAAGCAGGTGAGCAATAGAGAAACTAGAACGGATGCAGTTCTTACAATATCAAGGTTCAATACCGCTACCACACAATTAAGGACGGCTCAGTTAATATATTGTACAAGCTTATACAGCGATACATGTTTGATTGGCAACACTGTACAGTTTTAAGTCTAAAGTGCACAGCCTCAGTCCGAGGTGACAAAAAAAACAAATAAAACCTTGCTATCAATATAATTTAAAAGGCAACACAAATTACAGACACAGCTTCATCTCCTCGCTCTTCTATTTTGCAATGCTACAATGAGCCAGTACCAAAAAATTTAAGTATTTTCAATCAGTTCTGACGACATCGCACTGGTTTACTTCAAGTATTTTGAGAGAGCGTAAAACAATATTGCTTTACAAACCCACGTGGCCATGTTGATCCTAGTTAAAGCTAAAACCCAAAACTTGGCCAGTGTTATAAGTAGAGACAACTCCAAGATGTGAAATTCAGGTAGATGGAATTTTCCTCCCTCCTTCCCACCCCTACCCTGCCCGCTTGCAATATGGCCTAACTTGCAAGTGTAAAGTCTTGGTGGGCCTTCAATATGCCATAAAAATGGTCCTCATAATCAGAAGAGGTGCCTGAAACTGCAAAGAGGTAAAGCTAAAGTGCTTTATGTGTATTCGAAGGTATTTCCTTCATATCTTGCAACCCTCCATCTCTGCATAAGTGCAGAGAGTGGCTTGAAGGAGGACCAACAAGCCCAGTCCAAGATCTTTTGTTGCCCGAGGCAAAGCAGCTGGTGCTTCTCCAACCCCATGTTAGTGTCAAGGTGCATAGGACCCATGACTGGTCAAGTTATTTTGGTACCTGAGGCAGAAAAAAAACCCAAATTCTCTCTTGCCTCCCTGGTTGGGGAAAAATGCAACCATAATAAATTAAACAACAAACCAAATTGCTGCCCTTTCATGGCACTGGAAACTGGCTGCCTCACTCTGCCTAATGGCAGGGCAAAAATTATCTAGGGGCTTCTGCAGCTATGTCACCTCACGTTGAATCTTTGTATAGAGGTTGGATTGCACAAAGGAATTCTGGTTGGCTGCTTTGGTGAATTTTGGCCACATGATTCCAAGATTTACTCCACCCCATAGCTGTCAACCTAGCAATTTGGCTCCCTCACTGGTAAGCCCTATGGTTTGGTCTACTTATGTTAAGAAGTTTTAGGCTTCCTTTACCTGCAGCTCATTAAAATGCTGATGGCACAAGCAACTGATCTGAACTTTGACCTTTTAATTATTATTATTGAGAAGACTCCAAATACAACGCCATGTTAAGTCGTGGGTAGCACTTTCAATGATGATTGTGCGTCTGCTTAGATAGGCCACTTGAGAAACATCATAAAGATTTTATAATTTCACTGTCATTGATCTTGTGTTGTTGTTGAAGAGCTGCAGTAATCTCTTGAGGTTTTTGTAGTACTAAACTCTGGAGATGTAAAGTGACAAGCAGAACAGAGACATTTCTGTTGGATAATTTATGTGGGCTTCTGTCTCAAAATAAGCATTCAATGCAATTTCTCTGAAGGAAAATAAAGGATCTTAATATCTACTATTACTATTTTTTGCCCCTGCAGTCTTCATAACCCATAGAAAATAAAAATCTATATTTTACAAAATAGGATCTTTTTAATATATATAATATATATATATATTTCTTTTGTAAAATTATATGTAGTTAAATACATCTGAAATGTATGTAAATTAGAAATTCTGTTCTAATATACCAAGAAAAAAAAGGCAACATTTCTTTATTTGAAAGCATTTTCTGTTTTATGCTTTACAATGCCCCTCACTGTGTTCTGTGACTGTCTGGGGGCAAATTTGGCTACGTTTAATGCAAACTATCACTTTTACTAACTGTACTAAAATTTGGAGGGTGGAATCATGAGCATTTCATTATTCTGGATTTGTTTGAATGCAGCCTTTTTATATTTTCTAATTGGGAAATATTCACAAACTCAACGGGAGGGGGAAAATACTTTTAAAGAGGAGCAATGTTCTTAAGTGTTAAATTGTACTCTACTTTGACGGCACAATATAGAAATAGATTCACTTTGGAACAAACTACAAATACATTCACCACAGTTTGTGACAACTTAATTGTCTACCTAGAGAGACATTTCAGAAGGGTCTGGAAGACCACACAATTATAAATCCTGCCCAAGGCGCTCTATTTCCTCAATCAGGAAATCAATGTCTTGGTGAGCTGCTGCTGGATTGGAGATCACCATGCGGAAAAAGTTGACCTTGTCTCCCAGGGGCTGATAGCTGACCATTGTGGTCCCATACTCCATCATTCGGGCTTTAATAACTGGAGCCACCTTCACAGACACAGTATGAAAAACAAAATTAATATTCTACTGCCTCTGTTCTGAGCATATTCTTAGGGGCAAGCTAGACATGCGGTCCTCTCCCTATAGCATCCAGCACAACTCACCTGTATCGCAACATTCTGTTGCTCTCCCTTGCCCCTGCCACATCATTGGCTGACCTGTGTTCTGATGTCACAACATTCCGTGTATCTCCCCTCCCGCTCAACATTATTGGGTGACCTGTGTTCTGATATATGACCACATTCTATGTCTCTCCCTTCATTGGCTACCACTTCTTGGGTTTACACCAGTGTAGCGTTTGTCCTATTTGGCTCAGCAACCAACTCAAGCTCCCATAAACTGTGCAGCCTTGTGCAATAACTGCATCTTCAGTTGCAATGGATCTGAGTTCATGCTGGACATCTGGCCACCAATGCCGTTTAGGGATTGTCCGCATTGGAGATTATTGTGTGTTTGCAGCTGTTTGCGTTCCCATTTAATTTGTGCAGTCCACATGATATTACCCCCAAACAACACCAGTCTCAGTGCTTTTTGCCTGTAAATTGAGTTTCCCTGATACAGAGATACTGAGTCAACAAATTAGAAAGCAGGGACAAACACAGAAGGGAATGCTGGCAGGTATGAATGGGAAAGACCAAAACTGCTGTTCATATGCAAATGCATATACCGTATTTTTTGCTCTATAAGACTCACTTTTCCCCTTCTAAAAAGTAAGTGGAGATGTGTGTGCGTCTTATGGAGTGAATGCAGGCTGCGCAGCTATCCCAGAAGCCAGAACAGCAAGAGGGATTGCTGCTTTCACTGCACAGCGATCCCTCTTGCTGTTTTGGCTTCTGAGATTCAGAATATTTTTTTTCTTATTTTCCTCCTCCAAAAACTAGGTGTGTCTTGTGGCCTGGTGCGTCTTATAGAGCGAAAATACGGTATGTGCAGGTGTGGACTAGTCTGGTCTCATTTGAAAAGGGGGAAAGTGCATTCTGTAATAGAAATGGGCACATTGTCTTCTTCTTCTTACCTTTGAAAGACGGTTCATTCTTTCTTCATTATCCTCCATATTTCGTAAACTGGGAGGCACATACCAGAAGCAAACGTTTGTGTGCTGAGGCTAATGGAAAGAAAATAACATCTTAGATTGCACGAGCAGCTCAGTTGCCACAAGGTCCATGCGTTCCCCTTTCACAGCTCTTCCTATGACACTGGATCAAGAGCAAAAAACAACCCCAAGCTTGAGTAGGGTGCTGTTTCTCAACCTTTTAGAACCCCAGCTCCTCCACTGATAAATTTAGGCTGCAGTCTCCAGTATAAATTCCCTAGGAATAAGCCCCATTAAACCCAGTGAGAAGTGCGTCTCAGTAAACATGCATGGGGTTGTGCTGTTTACTTACTATCTGCACTCAGCAGTAGCAACAGGTTGGATTTAGAATATGCTAGTTAAACTTGTTTCCCATTGAAATGAATGGGTATTCACATAGCAATGATTAACTTTTTAATTTTGAAATGTTTCCAGGTTCCAGGTTATGAAACTTGTAGATTTCAATGGGACCTAAGTGCAACTCAAGTATGTTGGATCCAACCTAATGTGTTCCAAGGAATATGGCAGGGATAATAGATACTGGGAGAAGGTGATGGGAGCATATGCTTGGAACACACAATGTCTGAGCTTCAGTCCCTGGCGTCTTCACTTAAAAAGATCTGGCAGCAAGGGTAGGAAAGATCTCTTCTTGGAGCCCTAGAGGGCCACTGCCAGTTAGAGGAGACTGAGATATAGTAGGGTTTCAAGAGCAGACTTGATTTTTCCTATGGATTCCTTTAATTCCCTAGGTGTCCATAGTTTGACATCAATTAGATCTACAGTCAAACCTTGGAACTTGAACGTAATCTGTTCCGGAAGACTGTTTGACTTCTGAAACGTTTGAGTTCCAAGGCGCAGCTTCTGATTGGCTGACAGCTAGGTTTTTGCATAGCCATGTTGGCCATTCAAATTCTGAGGAACATTCGAAAACTGGAACACCCACTTCTGGGTTTTTGGCGCCCGGTAACTGAAACATTCGGCAACGGAGCTGTTCGAGTTCTGAGGTTTGACTGTATTACTTGTGGTGCCTGTACTCAGAAGGTCAGCAGTTCAAATCCATGCAACGGGGTGAGCTCCCATTGCTCTGTCCCAGCCCCTGCCAACCTAGCAGTTCGAAAGCACACCAGTGCAAGTAGATAAAAAGGTACTGCGGTGGCGGGAAGGTAAATGGTGTTTCCGTGTGCTCTGGTTTCTGTCATGGTGTTCCATTGCACCAGAAGCAGTTTAGTCTTGCTGGTCACATGACGCAGAAAGCTGTCTGTGGTCAAACACTGGCTCCCTCAGCCTGAAAGCGAGATGAGCACCACAACCCCATAGTCACCTTTGACTGGACTAAACTGTCCAGGGGTCCTTTACTTTTTTATGCAACAGGGAATACACATATGTATTCACTGGGTTAGATTTAAAACCTAAGAGCATAATACGAGCTGGCTGGATTAGGCCAATGGCACAGTGCCAACCAGATGCCTATGGGAAGCTTGCACTCTTGTCTTCCTGCTAGGCAGGAAGGCTGATTGATGTTCTGGCCAATTCAGGTGCTCTCTGGGCACATTACACTGATCTTGCAACTGATTCATAAATCAGCATGGTAATCATTCTGCTAGTGCTTACGTCGATTCCTTCTAGCACACTGGGCGGGAAGATTACTTGACAAACAGTCCCTTGGTAACAGTCTGATCTCTATGATTAGCAAGTACAGGGCAGACTTTTTAATCAATAAAATCCCCAATCTATAAAATGGTGTAGTAATAGATGTTCTGGAGCAGTGCAATCCCAATGCACTTTTACTTGGAAGTCTGCCTTTCTGTGTTTGGTGATGCTTACTCTTAGGTATATGGGTGGCGCTGTGGGTAAAAGCCTCAGCGCCTAGGGCTTGCCGATCGAAAGGTCGGCGGTTCGAATCCCCGCGGTGGGGTGCGCTCCCGTTGCTTGGTCCCAGCGCCTGCCACCTAGCAGTTCGAAAGCACCCACAGGTGCAAGTAGATAAATAGGGACCACTTACTGGCGGGAAGGTAAACGGCGTTTCTGTGTGCTGCGCTGGCTCGCCAGATGCAGCTTTGTCACGCTGGCCACGTGACCCGGAAGTGTCTGCGGACAGCGCTGGCCCCCGGCCTCTTAAGTGAGATGGGTGCACAACCCTAGAGTCTGTCAAGACTGGCCCGTACGGGCAGGGGTACCTTTACCTTACTCTTAGGTAAGCGTGGAGGGATTTGCTTTTCAAAGCTATGTTAAAATAAACACACACACCTTTCCCTCAATCACCAGCTCAAAGCCTTCTCTGTTCTTTATTTTGTTGTACAGGTATTCTGCAAGTTCCAAGCATTTGTCAATGTGTGCTTCAAATCCTACAGTGCCCTTTGGAACAAAGGAAGAAAGAGAGAGGAATGGAGGGTTAGGTTTGTTAAATGTATATATCGCTTGGCTACAAGAACCCCTGAAGCAATTTATAATCAGAAGAGAACAAAATATATATTTTTTCTGATTTTGGAGGATGCACGGGGGGAAAAAAGCATCACAGCTGGCACTGTTTTAAGAAGAAACTAACACTTGCCTTGTTTGAATCCTTATGCAACAGATCAACATATGACCTGAAGGGTGCTGCTTCTCTAACATACAGCAATCTATTAGCAGGGGATGCTGGAGGTCTCTGAATTGTATGGGAATCAGAAATAGGCTACCGAATTGAAGATCACAAATGGGAGGGTATCTGCACCACTTCCCTCCTTAAAACCCTCTCTGCTCACTTACAGGAGGCCTCACTCAAGGTCCTCCTTAAAAAGTACCAAAAGCAGCAGGCTGCATATTGTATTTATTATTGCTCAAGCTCCTGGAAAGTTCTGGGCAAAGATTTCCTATTGAATCCAGTAGGGCTTCCTTCTGAGTAGGCATAGTTAGAATGCATCCTTTTGTGTTCTTACTTATGTACAGAGATCACAGGACATAAACCTTTAATTTCACAATTTGAGAAATACCGTATATGAATGTAGTCAGGGTGAAACTTGATTTAAACCATCCTCTTCTTTTCCTGAGTGGATAAACACCGGTCCTGAGAGATCTGCATTGGCTCCCAGTACGTTTCCGAGCACAATTCAAAGTGTTGGTGTTGACCTTTAACGGCCTCGGTCCTGTATACCTGAAGGAGCGTCTCCACCCCCATCGTTCACCCCCACTGAGATCCAGCGGCGAGGGCCTTCTGGTGGTTCCCTCATTGCGAGAAGTGAGGTTACAGGGAACCAGACAGAGGGCCTTCTCGGTAGTGGCACCCACCCTGTGGAACACACTCCCTTCAGATGTAAAGGAAATAAGCAGCTATCCTATCTTTAAAAGACATCTGAAGGCAGCCCTGTTCAGGGAAGTTTTAAATATTTAATGCTGTACTTTTTTAAAAAAATTGATTGGGAGCCGCCCAGAGTGGCTGGGAGAACTCTCAGCCAGATGGGCAGGGTATAAATAATAAATTATTATTATAAAATCAATGAGTTAAATCACCTTGATTTCATTCATTCTGTCGGGCCTACATAACTCGTGACCCACCAGCTCTGTGTTGTGGTGCTGCTAGGTCCTAGATCATTCCCTTCATTTCCTCTTTTTTCATCCCCATACAGAGAAACCAGGAGCTTTATGGAGCAGCTGTAAGGCCTCTATAACTGGGACATGGTGTGCATTTCCTTGTTGGATCAAAAATGATGCACACCTAACTTAAAGCAGTGGCAACCTGGTTAAGGTTAGCTATAAGATGATGCCAACAATGGGTGGCAAAAACATCTACAGCCGCATGAAATGTGTGTTTCCTGCAGGCCATGGTAGTAAATGAATTTGTTCATCTTAAAGGAAATCTTGGGGGAGGAATCTGAAACCACTCAGCAGGAAGCATTATATTTGGCAATATTTCCAAACTGCAAAATAAGCTGGTCCTCGGAGAGTCTTTACAAATATGCCCCTAGAAAACAACAGATTTATAATTGGTTTCCCCACATCAATATTACGCCCGCTCCTAATTGCTGCATAAAATGGAAGCAGGTGTTCTAGTCACAGTTTTGCCATGTCTAGTTTTAAGAATTCATACAACAAAATCCTCTTGTCGTTCTCGAAAGCTTTTAGCCTGATTACGCTAGAACAGAATTGTTAGGCTGCCAAATTGGCTGGAGTCGAGGTGCAGCAACTGCTTCATGATGTCACAGGCTCGAAGCTTGAAAGCGGCACTCAATTCCTCATGGCTGAAAGGTGAATTGCCAATTATTATTCATTTGTTCACTCCCAGGTTTGCGCTTTTTATTTATTTCACGCACAGAAGGATCGTGTTAGGGAGGGCAGTGGCTTACCCAGAGACAGCTCTTGTAGGAATGCTCAGCCGCAGTTGCCTAGCAACCTAGCAACCAGCATTTACGTATTTAGCAAACATTCTTAATTGCTTTGCATTCAAAAGAATCGCAAAGCGGTGTACAAAACAGAACTCAAACGCAATACAATGCATTTATAATGAAATAAAAAAAACCCTATTAAGGTATTATGCTGTTCAACCAATAATGCTCACAATTACACACCCATCTATATATACCTCAGTACAAAATCCCAACCAGTCACTTGATATGGCAAAGGTCCCATTCATACTATGCATTTAAAGCAGCACCAGGCCACTTTAAACAGTCATGGCTTCCCCCAAAGAATCCTGGGAACTGTAGTTTGCTAAGGATGCTGAGAATTGTAAAGAAGCTAATAAGTTTAATAATATTGCTAATAATAATAATACATAATAATAATAATAAATGATGATGAGTCACTCTTTCCAGGAAACTTTGGGAATTTGGGAATTGTACCTCTCTGAGGGAAATAAGACAGCTACTTTCCCCTCTCTTTTTCTGACTCCCTCGCTCCCTCTTCCATTGTAAATACTCACCTTTGCCCTCCACATCAGCCATAGCTTGAAGACATCAACATGGCGCCCACATTGCAAGGCTTTGTCTCCAGTGTCGTATGACAGGTCGTAGTGCTTATCTTGTTGAAAGAGGTAGGAAGCGTGCATTTGGTTACAGCTTTGCATCAGGCCCTTTAAAGAAGCAAACACACTCTGAAGGGCAAGTGGAATAACAGGGAAGTTTTACTGATTCAGGAAAGCGCTTGCAAACAATTCCCCATCCTTGGCTGTGCTGCGAGGAACAGTTGATGTGTGTGTGTGAAGGCCTCGTAACTCTTTGACTTTGTAAGAAGAAGAAGAGTTTGGGTTTGATATGCCGCTTTGTCACTACCCGAAGGAGTCTCAAAGTGGCTAACATTCTCCTTTCCTTTCCTCCCCCACAACAAACACTCTGTGAGGTGAGTGGGGCTGAGAGACTTCAAAGAAGTGTGACTGGCCCAAGGTCACCCAGCAGCTGCAGGTGGAGGAGCGGAGACGCGAACCCGGTTCCCCAGAGTACGAGTCTACCGCTCTTAACCACTACACCACACTGGCTCCCTAAGGTTTCCTAAGCAAAGGATACAGGCTCCAGTGCTGGCCGAAGGGGCCATCAGTTGTATCTTTAGACTATATTATGAAGTCAAGAGCATTATTTTCGTCCATGCTTGTGGGACACCTTTGGGAGAAGAAAAGGCTAAGAAGGAGCAAACTCTACACAAATCTGGAGTGGAGTGCCTAAGATGAAGTCTTGTACGCCTCCTTCTGGAAATTCCTGCAGCCAAGCTGGTGCCAAATGTATTGTTCTGCTTTCCTCGTGACCACATCAGTGAGGCCGAGAGGGCAGCCCAGGCTCCATACACATAGCCCAGACTTGCTTGCAACATCATCACATAAATATATTCTTGCCATTATAGCTATTACCCTCGTCCTCAACTCTATAAACAATTCAGCTGAATATGTGCTATTTTCTGCTTCACCTCCTACCATGCAGCCCCCAGGCCGGAGGTAGCCAATGGGGCACCCTCCAGAAACTGTTGTGTTCCAGCTCCTATCATCCCATGCCAGCACAGCCAGCAGTCAGGCATAGTGGGAGTTGTAGTCCACAACATCTGGAGGACACCATGTTGGCTTTTCCTGCCCTGGCTGCTGTGAAGATGGGAGTACCTAGTAACCACTGTGCGTCGCTGAGCTCTTAAATCCACAGTAAGGAAAGCTAGGAACCTTTTGGAAACCCCATTTGCTTCTCATATTCACTCGTCTGCTAAAGTAGCATAGTGCCCCCATCACGGAATCCCCCATAATATTCCATACTAGTTGGGAAAAGAAAGATAGGGTGAAGGAGCCTTACGCTGCTGTGGAAGAAACTGGAGGAGGAGCTTTGGAGAGCAGGAGAAGGTGGAGAACATTAGTCCTCACAGCAAGAACTATTGAGAAGGGTTCCTGTGACCAAGCTGTTTTGTTTCTCTGAATAAAGAGTTAACTTCACTGCCATTGGGTGCTTTTTGTTTTACTGTTGATCTATGCCTGACTCCACCTCCTGATATCCCCATTTCTAGGCAACAACCACTGCACCCATTTTTTAATTTTATTTTGTGATTTCAGGTTGACTACAGATTTTGTATTATTCTTTTTTAGGTGAAAGATGTCAATATGGATGTAAACATACCTCTTCTCGTACGAGCAGAGCGGAGCACTGCAGCGGGACCCCCATCATTTTGTGTGGGTTCCATGTCACAGAATTGGCCCTAGAACAGCAACCAAACTTTAACATGAGGTGCGGCAATGCAGAGGCGTAAAATGCAAACAGCAAAACCAAAATAAAAAGGCGGCTCTTGTATGGCCAGAACATTAAGGCTGAAAATAAGCCAAGCAAACTAAAAAAGAAAGTAATGTAGAGTCATTATTTCATGCCATAATCAGGCTTTTTACGAACATCCAATAACAGTTAATATAAATGTATTGGCACAGATAATGTTCCTTAGAAATGACAGAGATTTTTCAGCTTGGAGCTTTTCCAGTGAATGTCTTTTTACAAGTCCATAGTTGTTTAAACTATGGTTAATGAGAGAGTGGTACCTTGGCATGTTTTCACTAACCAAACAAACCACAGTTCCCTGTGTCTGGATGTCATGGGGCACTTTGACTGGTGGCCCAGCTGCACCCTTGTCTGGGCAGGAATAGCCTAACTTCTGTTGTCTATGATCTGGTAACCTTTAGGTTAAATTACTGCAACACATTATACGCAAGGCTGCCTCTGAAGATGGTTGGGAAACATCATCAGAATTCAGCAGCCAGGTTGCTCACTGGAGCCACAGAGTTTGAGCATATTACACCAATCTTAGCCCAACTGCACTAGCTGCCAATTTGTTTCCAGGCCCAATTTAAAGTGCTGGTTTTGACCTATAAAGCCTTAAATGGCTCAGGACCGCAATACCTTAAGGATTGCCTCTCCCCATATGAACAGACCTAGATCCTGCAGTCATCATCTGAGGCCCTTCTTTGTGTGTCTCCTCCTCAAAAGGTCTGGAGGGTGGCAACATGAGAATGGGCCTTTTCTGTTGTGGCTCCCCATTTGTGAAATGTTCTCCTCAGGGTTGCTCGCCTGGCGCCTTCATTACATATCTTCAGGCACAAGGTGAAAATGTTTCTTTTTAACTAGGCCTTTGGCTAAATATTTTAAATGTGTTTGTGGGAGGGGGTGATTGATTTGTTATTGTGTATTTATTATGTATTTGTGTTCTCATTTTGTATTTTTTATGTTGTGAACTGCCCTGTGATCTCTGGATGAAGGGTGGTATACAAATTTAATAAACAACAACAACAACGTAAAAGGAACAGCAGCAGGCTCTTATGCTTTGCAAATATTTGGTCAAATATTTTAATAATGATTGGAACTTGAAAAATAGTTTCTGCTGCCACATTTGACAAGAGGATATTGACTAGTTTTAAATTTGCAGGAATTTTGGTGGCAGTCAAGACAGCATATGAGTAGTGTCTAATAATATTTCCATCAGTCACTGCAGCACATAAGTGATATTTAATGACATGTCCATAATCCCTACCTTTCGACACCATTTAATTTCCATTTATGTTTCCTTGACATCAGCAGCCCACCACCCCACGCTCCCTGGAAAAGAAAAGAAAGAGCAATAATTGTATTCAGTCGTATGGATTTCAAGGCTCTAATATCCAAGCCCACAAGTCACTTCTGAATGTTCTCCTTGTGTGATCAGCCAAAAAAATATTGTTGAGGAAATTTCAAAACAGGGGAAGTGTATGAAACATGTTCCCCAAGTGCACATCTGAAATTTACAACCACATGATGAAATGACGCCGTTGGTTTAAGTGGCTGTAGAAAAGAAAGAAATACCTTAAGCCCTTCAATTCAAGTGACTGTCCCCTTGCATTTTGTCAATTCTGTGCAGACAAAAGTCGTGCTGTAACAGGAGAGGGGAAGCTGTGGCCCTCCAGATGCTGTTAGACTTTGCCAGCCCTAGTCAACAGGACCAATGGTCAGGGAGGAGTGTGGATGTTTGTGCAGAGTTGGGATTTAACATCCCGCTTTATCACTCCCCTTAAGGAGTCTCAAAGCGGCTAACATTCTCCTTTCCCTTCCTCCCCCACAACAAACACTCTGTGAGGTGAGTGGGGCTGAGAGACTTCAGAGAAGTGTGACTGGCCCAAGGTCACCCAGCATGTGGAGGAGCAGGGAAGCAAACCCGGTTCACCAGATCACGAGTCCACCGTTCTTAACCACTACACCACACTGGATCTCACACACCACACTGGATCTCAGTGGGCGGAAGAGGAGGAAGCCCTGATAAATCATAAGCTGCTTTCCCAGCTTTATTATTATTATTTTTTTTAAAAAGCAAGGGAGCAATCCAACACCCAAGATCTTCTGGGATGAGTGGAGTTTGAAACAGGTGAATCTCTGTCTGAGTCTGGGCTTAGCTGGGGCTAACCCAGTTCAAGTCCCTCATTCCAGCTCAGTTAGTGCAGCTGGCTTAGCTGAGGCCAAGATCAGCGACAGAGCATGTTTTCACTGTGTCTGGGGCATGCATGCCTGTTGCAGCCTCTTCACACTGCCCTGCCAGCGCCCCCCCCCAGAAAAAATGGGACCATCGCCCCAGCAGACCCACCCATGTTACACCCCTGGCCAAGACAAGTCCCCCAACAAGGGAGTGATGGGGGCACAGTGGGGCAGGGGCGCACTCACACCTGTTCCAAACCCTTTCCAACTTGGTCACATGACCTAGCAACCTAGCAGAAGTTACACAGCTGCCTAGATTGAACCAGCTCTGACTGTTGACAGCAGTTGGCTTTCAAATACCAGTTTTTGGGTAGGGAAAGCGTTGTTGTACACAAATTCAGCTTATGGGTTTGGCCACTGTGAGAGCAGGATGCTGGCCTAGATGGGCTTTTGGCCAGATCTAGTAGCCTTTTCTAATGTTCTTAAATAAACAGTCACATTCCCTGACTTCCCTGGATTTTTTCTGGCCCACGTAGGACCAGCCTGGATAGTTGGCCTTGGTGAAGATTTGACGTTTTCATCCCCAAAAAGTTTTTGATTTCAGTTTCTACTGGAATGAGGCCGCATTTTAATGTTGTACTTAATCTTGTTTTTAAGTTGTATTTTAATCAATTGTTTTTACCTGGTGTTAGCCGCCCTGAGCCCAGTCTTGGCTGGGGAGGGCGGGGTATAAATAAAAATTATTATTATTATTATTATTATTATTATTATTATTATTATTCGTATAGGATGGGCCAACTACTTGCTACTAACCACAAGAGCTCGAGGTAATATACCGTATTTTTTGCACCATAACACTCACTTTTTTCCTCCTAAAAAGTAAGGGGAAATGTCTGTGCGTGTTTATGGAGGGAATGCCTACGGGTGGCATGCCTACGGATTTTCCTCCTCTAAAAACTACGTGCGTGTTATGGTCGGGTGCATGTTATAGAGCGAAAAATACGGTAGCTTTGAATATCAAAAACTAGGGACAAAGAAAATGAGATGGCCCACAACTTCCTGCTCTCCTTGACAGCTTCCAGAATCTGTGGTTCTCAACATACTTCAGAGATTCTGCTAGGAAATGCATTTCCACAGTGAACAGCATGGTTTTTTGGCTCTGCCACCTTACTGTTTTGTAGCTCAGTCCTTATAGACTGTAATTCTGTACTCACATCAACATGCATCCAGATCTTGTACTTTTTACAGATATCTGCAATAGCTATAAGTGGATCAAATGCCCCATAGACCGTAGTTCCTGCTGTGGCGCTCACGAGGAAAGGAACAAATCCCTGCAGGGAGGAAACAACAACAAAAACAACAGGAAAATGTTCCAGCGGAGAAAATTTCCTTTAGACATAGAGACTATTTTCTGAAATTGAGCGTCTTTCAGTCACAACAGCCCTGTTGGGAAGTGGCGTGGAACGGAGGCTTAATACTGTTAAAAGTTTTGGGGGAAGGCAAGGATCCCCAAAACTCCTGGGTGCCAAATCCTCCTAGTTATTCCTAGATTTAGTGAAAGTTAGAATTAATCAAGGTTTGATTAAACTGTGCCATACAGTTTAAATGCTGGATGCATTTAATGCTAACAAGCCAAGCCAGCCAGAGAGTGTGGGTCAGTGGAGGAACAAAGCTGATAATGGCTGGAGTCATTAACTCACCAGGAAAGCCTTCAAGAGAGCGAAAACTATGCCACACCAGGAGGGGTAGGGGCTCTCCTTCAGTGTGTGTTAGTGGACATAGATGAAAGGGATTAAAGGGTGTAGGGTTTTGGACTGGAGGAGATAAGCCAGGGAAATTGTTTGAGTCTGTTAGCTGTGAGAAGGAAGAAGAAGGCGGGGGAGGGGAGGAACATCATATTGGCTGGCTGTGATAGGCTGTAACAAAGAGACAGAGAGCATGACTGATTTTCTGTCTTTGAGACCCAAGACTGCTGCACCTATGGGAGAAGCAAGAGACCCTCTTGGGGCGTAATGCTATCCACACCTCCATCATAGGCTCAGGTGGTATATATGTGTGTAAATAAACCATATATCCTAAAGACACCACAGTCTCCACTGTGCCTCATTCCCAAAAGGAAACACAAACCCTAGATAAGCACCCGAGATCCTTGGAATCACATGCAGAGATTGGGGAGGCGTGAAACAATATCATTAGGGCGAGGCATACCAGTAATCACAGACTCAACATCTAAGAAACATGCCTGATTTATGCTGCCAAGCAAAGCTTAGATGTTATAAGAGACTGCCACTTGCACATCTTGGCTTCCTCTTCCTACATGGACTGGCAAGAGCTCTCTAGTGTTTCAGGCAGGACTATTTACCCAGTCCTATCTAGAGATCCTGGAAGGGACTGAAACTGACACCTTTTATTTATTTTATTTTATTGGTACACTGCCCTATAATACCCTTAGCAAATGGGCTTATCCACACTGACCTTTCCTCCACTCTTTCAAGGAACCATCCGAGCTTTAAAGCTATGTGCCTGAGTGCACATTCTTCTTCTTTTGCTCCAGAGCGCTCCCTGTGAAAACTTGCTCTTTAAATCTCAATCAGTGCAAAGGGCAATCTGCTTAAAACCCAATTGAGCGCTAAAGAGCGGGTTTTTGTAGGGAAAACTCTGGGACAAAAAGCTCTACCAAACCCCCCCCCCCCGAAATGCTCAGACATGCAGCTTTTAAGCCAAGATCTATGCCTGGCGAGAGTGGAGCAAAAGTTAAGTGTGGATAACCCCAATATTGTGACCCATCGACATCCTTTTACTGTAATTTGCTTATGTCATTGATGCTTCCGCCTGCAGGTGGCAGCAAACTGCTAAGGCAACAAAATGTGTCCAGATGTTTGGCTTTTGAATAAGGCTTTTCCTGGCAGGGAGTAAAAATGAGCATCTGGAAAGGCTAGGTTTACTTTGCAGTTCTGAACTCTGTTGAACGACTTACACTCTTCTGGCCTCAGCTGGACAGTGTAAAAAACAGTTTGTTGAAAACCAGACAGTTCAAATTTTTTAAAATCGTTGAGAATGAATGTGGGACTTTCTACATGCAAAAATGCATGCTCTCCGACAATGGGCCTGCGCCTCCTACAATCACAGGGTCTAGACTAGAGGATGGAGAGAGCTCAAAAGAGTTGGGGTGACCCAACATTCTTGCACATGCACACTCAGTGAATCACTTTGTGATGCCTACGTTATTTCGGAATAGTCTATTTTTCGGAAAGGTTTCTTTCAGTGCCTTGGTCCAACTCATCATTAGCTCTCATTTCAAGGGCGGGGTGGGGGGGGGAATCTTTGTGTGCAGATTTATAAGGCGACTCAACTTTTAAAACAATGATTGAAATTCCATAGGCAATTCCCTTGCCTCACTCCCCAAAATGGTATGCTTTCCTATACACCTACAGATTACTGACTGTAGGTGGAAATCTACTTGCCTTTTGCTTTGCCTCAACAATTCTCCTTTCAAGATCAGATGGAATCATTTTGCCTCTGCAATAGAAAAGGGAAAAAAGAAATCAAAATACCAGCGTTTTGCTATTAGCTCTTTCCGTCCGCTACTCAGGTTAGTTAACTTAGATAAGATAGTGATTTATGAAAAGTTCTATCCACCATTTATAAACTTAACTAGCCACTTGGGAAGTGATTCATTCCACCCTCCATGATCTGCCTCCTTAACTGAATTTGAGTCAGTTGAAGAGGTTTGCAAAAAGGTCCTGTTTCTTAGTACAGTACTACTAATAATAATGTATACTTTTGTTTTGTTTTTTGCAAATCTGAATGTTTATATGAATCTCAACTTATCCATAATGAAGTGGGTGGAAAATGTCAAATGACTGAATGCAGAGTTATGGTTTTTTAGTACATTTGATGTACTCAAGGGCCTTTGCTCCTGAACTCACAGTTCACTAACTAATGTCCACATGGTGCTTGACAGATCTTCGGCAATCCAAAAATGTATTGTGCAGGTCACAAAATATATAGCTCTGCTGGTACAGCCCTGGGGCCATGAGTTTGGCTCAACAAACCTGCTATAAACCACTTTTTGAACTCTCTGAAAAATGCCCAGCATCTATGTGGCAGAGCTTCCTTAGCCCAACACAGGGCAAGACTATATTATATGAACAGGCCATTTGATTTTTTTATTTAAAAATATTGTTCTTTCTGCTGCATTCAAAGAATGGCTATTCCTGCTGTCATTCATAAGGCTGTGCTTACCTGTCATCACACCTGATCAAAATCACACTGTCAGTACCAATTCCTAAGGCTGCTGCTCCTTTCTTCACAGAAAAATGACTCTGAAAAAGCACATGGGTTATTTTTGCAATGTTTACAGCAGCTTCGCTTCTTCAGCTGTAAAAGAATCATGAAGCAGCACCTATGGGAACAATCCAGCAAGCCCTTATTCCTGTGCAAATGAGGCTCTGTTTGCAAGCCCTGGTGAAATGAATGGGAAGTTCTGCGTGGAGACCTTAAACATCTATAGCTTGACTGTTCGGTGATTAGGTGTTTAGTCAACCACCGAATGCAATTTAATAAGGGCTGACAGAACGTATGTGGAAGAGCTTTGAACTCTGAAGTGCTGATGCTGCTAAATGCTCTCAGATGGCTGTCTTTTTCTTGGACACCACAGGAGTTACATTAGTCTAGTCTTCCCCAACTTGGCGTCTTTCAGATGTTTGGGACTACAGCAACACTCCCAGCCAGTGTGGTCAGCATGGACAGCGCCATGTTGGGGGAGGCTGGATGAGATGGACATAAATGGAAGCTACAAGAGGTCACCACGAGATTTGACAGCTTCATAAAAACACACCTTCCCAACATAACTGACACAGCACATTTCAGAAGGAGGGGAGTCATAGCTCATAACTCATTTGTATGCAAAAAATAAACAAAGGACTCTCATGTTACAGTAGGAAAACGACTATGTCTTAACTCAAAGGGCGTTTGAAGGAGCCTGGTTTAATCAGCAAAGAAGTGAGGCTAGCAAAAGGTTGAAATAGAAACCACCTACATGCTCCGATGTGAAGGCAACCAGTCTTGGAATAGCTGCCATTCCTTTCTCTTTAACTTCCGGGAACATCTTGAAACGTGCAATCAACATAGCATACATGTTAGATATGGCACCACCTGGAGTCCACAGTAATACAGCGTTACTTCCTTTATTCATAACGGCACAAAAGCTTTAAGCACAAACTGTACTGGTCATGCAACTTTTTCAAAACAAGAGATATTTCTCATATAGAGGGCCTGGCTTGATCTTAGGTAAGGGAACCCGTTGCTTCATTTCCCACCCGCTATGGAGAAAACCCACTGAGCATGTCCTTGAGTCCGCCTACAGTAGATTGGACCTTGGGCTGCACTCTAGAACAGGGCTGGGGAAAAGTGAAAAGTAGCCCTCCAGACCACTCTGCCTGGCCCTTGGGACTCTCCCCAGGACATGTGTTCCTGAACTGAGATTATAGATAAACAGGTAAAGGTAAAGGACCCCTGGATGGTTAAGTCCAGTCAAAGGCAACTATGGGGTGCGACGCTTATCTCACTTTCAGGCCAAGGGAGCTGGTGTTTGTCCACAGACAGCTTTCTGGGTCATGTGGCCAGCTTGACTAAACCGTTTCTGGTGCAACAGAACACCATGACAGAAACCAGAGTGCATGGAAACGCCATTTACCTTCCAGCTGCAGCGGTATCTATTTATTTACTTGCACTGGTATGCTTTTGAACTGCTAGGTTGGCAGGAGCTGGGACAGAGCAACGGGAGCTCACCCTGTCGTGGGGATTCGAACCGCCGACCTTCTGATTGGAAAGCCCAAGAGGCTCAGTGGTTTAGACCACAGCGCCACCCACGTTTATTATGCCTATTGCTTCCCTAGACAGAGAATGGAGAGATGCGGTGTGTGCATGGAAACCTTTCATTATTGCACGGCTGGAATGTAGCCTACCATACGAAGGAAAGAGTTGCATCTGTGGCTTCTTTCCCTTGCCCAACACTGCCATGCAACCCTCAGAAGGTTGCCCATAAGGAAACATGGCCCTTGGACTTAGAAAGATTCCCCACCCTTGTTTTAGATACTTCCAAGTGCCTGTGGCTGCATATTTATTTTGGAAATACCCTGCTTGCCCAATGGCTCTATATACACTGCGTTTGATTCCAGCCTAGTTAGCTGTACTTCTCCCATTGGAATGAATGGGGGGAAACTGTCCCATTGGGAAACTGACTTTCTCTGGTGAGGGACCAGATATTCCTTCCATGTCTGGACACCCCTTTCTTCTGGTCAAATGTCAAGTCCCGTATGGCAGATAACCAACATGATTCCTTTGAGATGTTGTTGGAGTACAAGTCCCATCATCCCTGACCATCAGCCTCACTGGTTGGCGCTTATGGGAGTTGGAGTCCAACAATATCTATATGCACACTGGCTGTCCCAACCTGCAGTGTTCACAGAGTGTAGGATTTTCCCCCAGCAGACTAGTTGGAGAAGGCTGCCCCAAACTATTTTGAGAGGCTGCTTTTGCCTGAGAAGCAAAATAACCAAACACAAATTTACAGGGCAACTTGGATTTAAGGACAGGAGAGAGAGTACATTTTCCTTGATATTTCTGTTTCTATTCCTATTTACTAAAAGGCTCAAGAGAGCACCACTACCTCATTAGTAAATATTAAATAAAATAGCTGTAATTCCTTTCTTTCATTTCAGAACACTTCAAAAATATTTAATGTAACAGAAGAAGCGGGCAAATGTCTCTTCTGATTAATTTCCCCCAGGCTGCCACTTTGGCTGTTTACAAAGCAGAAGGAAGTATTCAGCAGGGACAGATATTAATGTCTTTAATAATCATGTCTCTGGACTGCCATAAATATGCATTTTTATGTACCCAGGAAAGGATACTCAGGATTGTGAGTGAATGAACGCCCTTCTGAATCTTGCAGACTGAAAAGTACATCATACATTACAGACATAAATAGGTTTTTTTTAAAAAAGATCACTCACCAGGTGAAAATATCCCATCACCAGCACCTCCTGGCCAACCAATGATTTCTCTCATTTTCCTTAAGGTGACATATTCCAAAAGTACAAACACTGGAGCAATTTCATAGGTGAACCTGAAACACAGCAATGCCCATATTTTATTGACCTGGTTAAGATATGGGCAGAATCCCCCCCCCCCCATGATTTAACTACAGTCATACTTCGGCCTAAGAACAGTCCTGTTAACAAATGATTCGGGCAATGCACTCTAGAAAACCAGAAGTAGGTGTTTCGGCTAGCAAACTTTGCCCTGGAAGACAAATGGAAGTCGACCGGTGGAAGGGCACCAGCGGCAGGAAGCCTCATTGGGGAAAGCACGCCTTGGTTTAAGAACGTTTTTGGTGTAAGAACGGACTTCTGGAATGAATTAAGTTCGTAAACCGAGGTACTACTGTATAACATAGCCTCCTTTAGTGGAGTGGGATGTTTCAGTCCCGCCTTTTAAAAACATGAATGAGTTTTAGATTTTTCTCTGCTTTGCTTTGTGCTGGTTTTTAATGCATGTGCCATTTATGTATTTGTTCCAAGTTGCTTAAAAAGAAGTGATGAATAAGTTTAATTAACAACAACAGGCATTCCAAGACTGATACAAGTGTGAGATGTAAATAGAGGGCAGATTAAGGAACTGAAACCTACAAGTTACCAGTTCACACAATCCCAGAGGAAATACAAAGATTTACCAATATCTAGTGAGGCTTAGTGATGTAGGAAATAAAGGTTTTGACTTGGCTCAGGGAAAACCATGTTCTAATCCTCACTCAGCAATGAAGCTCATGCAGCGACCTTGAGACAGACACTATCTCTTAGTCTAGTCTACCTTACAAGGATGTTGTAAGCTTTAAAGGGGCAGGGAAGAGAAACAGGCTGTAAGCTCATTGGTGGAGAAGCAGAATAATAATACATTTATTCACGTAAAACACAAAATAATTCTCTGTTGCATTTCTTGAAAGTTGCTAAGTTTTGAAACTGTAATTTTTTTCATTGGGAAACAACACGATTGCAGTGATTGTAATGGCCAGACTAAATTTTTCAAAAGATATCTGGACTCAATACTAAGCTTAGACAGACCCCATAAATAAAAGCACCAGCAAATTCACATACTTACATATTAGTGTTGGCTGTAGAAGTTAGCCAGTCTGCAGCCAATCCGACCATATCCAGTCCAGTTGAAAGCTGATTGAAATATCTGGGATGTCCTGCATAGCATTGAAAAAGTGGATGGCATTTTTTTGTTTCCAGCGAATCATGTTTTCTTAATCACTTTATTGAAACGTTAACTGTATATTTCGCTGCACTGGAAAAGCGATCAAAGCATGAGACACGAATGCCACATTGCTGAACTTCTTGTCTACCTACATTTGCACCATATACCTGCCAGCACATTGACCCATGTAATCCATCTAGCCTTCAGTGTGCCACAAGCAGAAAGGAGACGTTTAAAGGGCAAGCGACCTGAGAGAACTGACTGGTTTTGCCTGATGTCAAATTCTTAGACTTAAGCAGTGACTCAACCCCTGTAGTCATATAACTCTATCCAAAGAAAACCTGAGTAGCAACCCTGATGTGAAGAGACCCTAACTGTTCCTGGACCAGGACCAAGCAGATGAGACTCCTGTTGGCTGTAAGCAACCCTGCAGGCCTCCAGCCTCCAGAGGGCAGGGTTGAGACTAACAGATAGGGGAAAGCACACTTTGTGGCTTCCTCTCAATCTCCCAAGCTCCACCCCTTCCTGTTCCTTGTGCTCTCTCTCTCTCTCTCTCTCTCTCTGCTGTAGGATGCAGCCCCGAGAAACTCAGGTCCGCCATGTAGGCTTAGGATCTGTAGACATCTTTGTAATAATAAAAAAGTGTTTGCCAATAAGACCTCTTTGTGTTTTATTTACTCTTTTAAGTAATGCTAGTTTGTGTGAATGAGACAGAATGGGGGGTGGTGGGACTGAACAGCTCCAGCTTCCAAGCTTTTAAAATCTGCTATATATGAACTGTTTAAAAAACCAAGAACTCAGTGACATGCTGATCATCTAAACTGCCAAGCACGAACCCTCTGAGAAGTGACACAGCATCTGTCCCAAGTCTTCACCTCCCATCTCCAACAACCCTTGCTAAAGACACACATCAGCATGACCTGTCTTACTCAATGTGGCGCATCCCAGTCAGGATGCTTCCTGCCCCTTTAAAATTCACAGTCCTTGGAGAGGAGGCAGAACTTGGCACAAACAGCAAGCAAGACACTGGGCGCTTCCAGACAACCTGTTCATTGAGTATTCCGCTGGATTTGTTTTTAGGGAGATTAGATGATGTTGGCTACAGTGGTACCTTGGTTTGCATACGTCTTGGTTTGCACATGTTTTCGATTACAAACACGTCAAACCCAGAAGTGCGTGTCCCGGTTTGCAACCTTTTTTTGGATTACAACCCATTTTTGGGGGGGATTACGAACAACATTTTTTGGGAGGCCCCATTGGCGAAAGCGCGCCTTGGGTTACAACCTGTTTTGGTTTACAAACGGACCTCAGGAACGGATTATGGTTGTAAACCAAGGTACCACTATACTTAATGAGCATTAATTCTGATTTTTTTTTGCAGGGAAGTTAAAACAACATTATATCAAGACAAGTGGTATTCCACACTTTCCAGTGGGCCTGTTGTGCAAGACCTCCCAACCAACTATAACTGTGTAACCTGAATTTGTTGATATGTGATTGCCTATTGCCAAGGCAACTTGACTGCTACCTGGGAGCTGTCCTTTGTACCTGTATCGCCTCCTTGCTTGCCAGCATGTAGAAGAACGATCTCCATCGGCCCTGACCCTGTGAAGCGTCGTGGCCAAGGGAGCTTGTTTCTGGGCTGGTGGGTTCCTTCACCCTCCATGCCTCCCCCCAATGCGCCCGGTCCCTGGCACTCGCACGTGCCCACCCCGGGCACTATGAGCTCATGTGACACCCCTAGGGGGCCCTCCTCTCCCTTCTGGTAAAAGATGCCTTCAAACAGAGGACTGACCTCTGTAAAACAGGATATGTAGTCAGCCTACTTTCCTTGTATTCCCCAGCATGCAAGTGTCCCTCCCAATATGCAAGGGGTATATTCATGCATGTGCAGGCATGCGTACACACACACACACACACACACACACACACACACACACACACAGCATTGGAAGGCCCTGCTCCATCCTATTTCCCTGTCACTATTTGAAAAATCATATGTAAGGAGACAGCCAGAAAATGGCTGACCAGGTAGTGCTGGAAAAACGATATGCTAGTACAGAACTTGTGCTTGACAAATATCCCCTGACCTTCTGTGGAGTACAACTGTATTATTTCCCACACCATGCTGTTCTGTTGCACAAAGTGGGTCTCCCTTGGGCCTCAACGTTAACGGGGAACATTAATTGGCCAATTAGGCTGGTCTTTTGTCAAAGTCACCTTGGAATGTTCTTTAACACACATGCAAACACAGGAGGCTAAAACTGGTTTGCTCAGGCGCAGAGAGAGGGTGTGAAAAGAGAACTGAAAATGAGCAATCCAGGTCTTGGTAGGTAAGTGGCAGGTGGCAGAGAAGTAAACAGGCTGTGATGGCCTGGGATTCGGACTTGGATGCTGAACCTGAGGAATCCCAGCCTGCACAGGATTCCCCGCCTCCAGAACCAGCTGAGCCGGGGCTGGGGCATGAGCCTGAAGGGTCCTCACCTGTGCTGGATCCTCAGGTGCAGGCACCAGCTGAGTCTGCTCTGGCTCCTGAGGTGATGGAGGACCCATTGCCTGCAGGTGCTCCACTCTCAGCCCTGTCAGAGGAAGCTGAGGTTGCCTCTGGGTCCGGTAACCCTCCAGCCTCTCCTGAGCTGCAGAGGCTCAGGGCAGAGAGGTGGAGGAAACTAAGTTCCCGCAGGAGGAGTGCTCACCTCCAGCCCAAGAGAGGCGAGTTACCTGTGGGCCGGGACCGCCCCTGGCCTCAAAGGAGATAAAGGCCAGTCAGCCCCAGTCCCAAGTTGCGGGAGCAGCATTGTTGGTAGCCCATTCCTGCCGGCACCCTGTCCTGCTTTCCTGCTGGAGCTCCTGACCGCACCCGACTCCCTGCCCTGCACCCAGCTTCAGCTACCATGGACTGCCTCTATACTGCACCTTTGACCTCGGACTGGACTCGGACCTTACCTCACAGTTAACCCACGGGACCAGCACACAGGCATTACAATGAAACTGCAATGCCTGTGCTGTTATGAATAGGCAGGTTGCCACAAAGACCTTATGCCCCAATCCAGAGGAAGCTAGTGACCTAGTGGCAACCCCATGCATGCCTACTGTATAGCTAATGACATCCAATTAATATCTATGAGACTTCAACTAGACTAATCTTCTCTGCCTACGAGAAGAAACGCCATGGTGCATCTGCAGCAGCACAACTGGACGCCTTCATCTGCCCCAGCTGCAACAAAACTTGTCTCTCCCATATCAGTCTCTACAACCACAGCAGGCACTGCCTGCAACCTTCCAGCAGCTTGACCTCACCCGCAAAGGTGCACTCCTCCATTGTCTCCCAAGACAGACAGGTGCCAAGCAAGTCTGTAGTGTTTTCTCTTCCACTACAAAGTGGAAGACTGACCTTCATGTCCTGTTGCTCAGGAAAGGGTGCAGATTTGCAAAGCTATTCTCAGGGGTGGTGATCCTTGGGATCCTTGGGTAGGAAGGGAACCCACACGGTAGGTGGAGCCAGAGCCAGAGATGGGCGGAGCCAACTCTTTCCAGTTTTGTCCCCATCCACTTCTCTGCTAAGTTCTTCAAGGGGAAACACTGAGATGGAGGAGCAGGAAGTTGACAGGCAGGGCCAGCCTCTGGCCTGCATGTAAGTAGGACGATGGGCAGGTGGGAGCTGGCTGAGGTTGGTAGGACAGTGGCCCATTAGCCCCAGTGCACCAGCCTCCATTGACTACTGCAGAGATCTGACATAAGCCAAGGTGAATGGTTTGGAGGTTTCTCTAGATACTCTCAGCACACCATGTAAAAAAGCGTGCATACTGCCAGGAGCAAACCAGGGAGCGCAACTGGGCTATGATCCTGCTCTACAGAATACTTATCCTGCTCTATGAAATACTTATCAAAATGTTTAATCTGGACCTGAGCAGAAAAATGGATTTCTGGAACCAGTTTTCTATCTAATCACAGCTCAATAAAAGCTTGAAATGATAAGCCGAGGTTTGCATTTCCTTCTCCTGTTTAAAGTCAACTTCACGGTGCCTTGTAGCAACAGCCCTTTGGAAGACCTTTGCTCACATGCCACATGTTGTCAATGAACGCTATATTTCAGAGGCAGAAGCAGGCCCATGAGCCAAGGAGCTTGCTGCAGCTTGTAATAACCTCTAATGATTACAAGAGACAGGGCAAAATGAGCAAATGGAACTCTCTGCCGACTGCTTTGCGCCGTGAGTGAAGGGGCTGAGGATGGCATGCAGATTGCTCAGACACCAGAAAATACAGATCATTTCTCCCTTGTCAGAACACACAGTTATGAAGCCCTGAATCTCCTGGTAATTGTGATTTTAAAAACAAAAACAAACAACAACAACAACAACAAATAAACGTAATTCAAGTCAACATCTTTGCTGTGTCAAAGTGATGCATGAGAAAATAGTCAGTGGCCTGGTAAGTCCATTTACAGGGCTTCTCGTTGTTTTGATTTGCAGATCTTTCGCAGCCCTTTCGGAGAGGTTTTGAAACATAAAGGAAATGTTCCCGAAGCTCATTAGGGCCACAGAACACCCTTGCCTGGCTACATCCGAAATAAAGCCCTATCTAGGTTTCGATACCAGCAAAGAGAGAGAAAGATTAAGAGGCGCTTCAATAGCATTGGATGATTACGAAAGCAGTCCAGGAACACCTGTTCCAACTCAGGCAAAAAGAACATCGCTGCCTGCCTGCCTGCCTGTAAGGTGGGAGATACAGAGGAGCTATTAAGTAAAGGCATACAAAAACCTAAGAGGGAAATTATCAGTCTCCAGCAGTCTTGTATCAGTCAGACACACACCCCACACAAAGAATTCAGCCCTGTCCGTCATCCATGGTGCGGGCACACAAAGGCTCAGAAATCAGGTTGTGTGGGTGAAGCAAAAGGAGGGAAATTAGGGGTGGGGGAAGCAGCAGCAAAACTCATTATTCTCTTATAAATGGAGTCCCTGCCTCACCCTTCTGAGGCAGCCACTTTCG